GATATTCTTTGTCATTGATAATCAAAATAATATAAGATACTTACTATAATTAAAAATAACAATCAGTAAAATAAATACCAAATAGAGATTTAATTATTAATATTGCATTGTTTACCAACCGTATGATTGATGGGTAAAAACCCGTGATAAATGTCGATCGAACATTTGTATTACCACACGGAATAAATTGAAGTTTTTATGCATGAAAAATCGATTGCGTAACACAGATGTTCGATCAACACATCACCATGCTATATCACAGAATAAATTCTCGTGATGCATGCTAAAAAAAATTTTTTTCTTCAGAACGTACCTAAAAACAATGACCGAAACATATATTGGAAACAACGGTAAGCTCGTTAAGCATTCGAATTTTGCAGACTTGTTCTCAGTATAAACTGATTCTCTTTATTGGGTTTACTAGCTGTTTTAAAATATTTTGAAACTCACGATAGAAAAACATGGAATTATGAACATTTTTTAAATGAATTAAAAGAAATAATCATCAATTCACCACCATATACTGAAGACTGGAGCGGTTTAGATGGTACATGGTATAACAGGTATATTTATCATGCCAAGGTATAAATTTTATAAATCAAAAAAAACCTCATAGCATCAGGTGTAAGGGCGCTTCTGGGTTGTAGTTATATCCTATGATATAGTACGATCCAGAGGTTTTACTGAAGTTTTCGGTGCCCAAGTGATGAGATGATGCGCTTCTGGGTTGTAGTTATATTTTAAGATATAGTACGATCCAGAGGTTTTGCTGAAGTTTTCGGTGCTCTCTCATTGCGATTCGTTAGGATAAAGATAATAAACATCGGAAAATGAAATCATTTTTTCAAGATATTATCCTTGAACGTGAAAAGGTTAGTATAGTTTGTGGCATTATTACATTAGTGTTTTTTAACACATAACTATTATCAAAAAATAATTCTTTATTGATACTAATTATGTTCCATCTCTATTTAACCCTGCCAAAAATAGAGAAATGCGGGGAAAAATTATGTAATAGAAGGCGTCAAAATTCTTAATGAAGCAAGGTTCTCCAGTTCCGTTGAAGTTATTTCCACTATAAATAAACAGCATCTCCAAATCGAAAAAGTAAATAATGAACCACCACGAAATCCCGAACACCAAATATATCAATCCCAACAAATCAACGTCAAACGAGAACTGGAAGAAAAGTAGACGATTCTTATGAATTAGCCTTATCTGAAGAAGAAGATGATTACAACAAAGATAATGTAGAAAATAATAATGTCAGTTTTTTCGTAATTTCTAGTTATTAAGAAAATTCAGTATTATATTTATGTTTCTGTGTAGTAATTTTACTTTCTAACAGAAACACACAAGAATGATATGGCGTCTGATGTAGAAAGCTTTGATGAAGGCAAAATGTCTTCATGCGAAATTGCTCTGAAAACGCGCAAGCAAAAACGGACGAAAAGAAACGAGCCAGAAATCGATAATGGAGTGGGTAGTCGATGGTGTAAACGTCACCAAAAAATTTCGACAGTACCAAGAACAGTGCTTGAATAAGCTCAAACATAGTGGTTTAACGTGGAGAAATAAATTTGAGATCTTGTAAGTACAGTGGAAGGAAGTTCAATAGACCAAAAAGTCTCTATTTCGTATATATTTGCGAATATGCGTTTTTTTAATCAGGGCCCTATCTTCGATAATCATCTTTGATCACGTTTGCCCATACCCGAGCGTGTTCACGCTAAAGGAGTGGCAGATGATAACTGAACAAAACCCGGTGGTTCCCGAGAATGTGTCTACAGCGTTCCATAACGCTATCATAAGACATTTACAGGGCGAAGATTTTTACATGATCCCGGATGATACTGAGCTACACCGTCTCCCAAAAAGAATGCAACACCTGATCGGCGATCTTTAAATGCTAAAATTTTAAGTAGGATAAATCAGATTATAATGAAATTTATACTATAG